TAATCGTGATATCAATTATTGACCCAAATAATCGAGATTATGATTTTTGCCATAATCGAGCAGCCCTAGGTTAGGGTTGAATTTTGCTCAAAGGACAGTATTTGTGTACAGTTGTATTGCTAAAAGCCAAAGTAGTATATGTAGACGCTGCTTGAAATATAAAACACTGACAAGCCAAGTAAATCCCAGTTTAGATGTTAGCCTGACAAGACATCCATCCCCTATTGATTTTTTATTTCACTGTATTGACGCTGATCATCGATCTCAAATGTAATTGTTCACCTGTATGACCATCATATTTGGGCTCAATGACGATACAAATTGCAGGTTTCAAAATCTTTGGATCAGATTTACAAATAACTAAGAATTTGTATTAACCACCAGTCCAAGTTTTTCACCCAAAGAAAAGGGATGACGTAGAGGAAAAGTACCCGTATGGGTTGCTATCATATCTTTCGGTTACACATTTGTTCTTTGACATTACAATGAGAAACAAACAGATCCCGTCAGTGATACTTAAATACGATTTCTTGTCTAAAAAGATCAGTTTCTAGCTACATGTTGGCGTCTGATCAGAAAGAAGTCAATCAATCAAACCCCGTCAGAGTAAAGATGGATTCATCATTAAGTGTTCTCCATCTGGGCCAAACTGGAGGCCCTTTGTAACGGCACTTCTTTAGACAGAAAGAGACTTTTAACAGACTGTTTTTGGCCGCTTTGCCTCATTCCAGTGATTCCTCGGTGCCTATGGGCATTGGCACAGGTCTGCATGGAGAAACACTTAGTTCCTCTCTCATTATTACATATCTCCCGTCATCTCTGTCTCCCTATTCTTCAGGGCAAGGCAAGTTTATTTATACAGCACCTTTCAACACAAGGCAATTCAAAGTGGTTTAAGACATTAAGAGCATTAAGAAACATATTACAAAATGGCATTTTAATAAAACATGAATAACAAAGGTACATGAATACAAGTTACAGAGCAGTGTGAGATGTGAATAGTTCAATTAAAAGCAGCGGCAAAAAGAAAAGTCTTCAGCCTGGATTTAAAAGTAGTCAGAGTTGCAGCGGACCTGCAGGTTTCTGGGAGTTTGTTCCAGATATTTAACAAAATATCCCGAACCAAATTCCTCTACCCCTAGTCTTCCTGTGAAATTATAGTTATTTTGACACTTTTCTAACCTTTTTATATTCCTTTCATCCTTCTCTTTCATCCATGTTGCATCCCCAGACAACACCATAGTGAAATAACACACACAGACTAACAGCATACAGACATTTGTTCCAGATGTTTGGAGCATAATAACTGAACTTCTCCATGTTTAGTTCTGACTGGGGACAGAAAGCTGACCAGTCCCAGAAGACCTGAGAGTTCTGGATGGTTCATCGTTTAGCAGGAGATCAGAAATGTATTTTGGGCCTACTAAACCATTTAACCTGTTAAGCCCCAAAGCCCCCGTCGGCGGGTCTTTTTTTTATTTTTATTTCTTTATTTTTTATTAATTTTTTATTAATTTTTTTTTCTTTGAATGGAATGAATACCTATGGTGATAATTCAATGTAATACATCATTTTTATAGTCTGGTACCTGAAAAAGGTCAAATGGCACTGATGGAACCAGATATACCCAAATGTGCCGAAACCTTATTCCGCCTGGAACTTTTTTTTGCTAAACCTCTCTAAAAAGGTCAAATTTAACTTGTTTTGCCTTAATCTTGATACAGGGTACTTATTATATGTTATAGTTTGGATTCCTAAAGCTTTTAGTCTACCATCCCATCATTCAAGGGTGGTTTTCACTTTGAAAACATGTTTTCTCTTTAGGCGGAGGTAAGAATTTACCTTTTTTTACTATGTTCCATCTGAATTTACTCTGACTGAGAAAAATCCATATTGATTCTGACACTTCTACATCCAACTCACAGATGTAACCTTGCTTTGATAAAAGAAATTATTCATATAACCCTTTTAGAAGTGAAGTTGTGGTCATTTGTTTTGGGCATGTCCTTTTCGAGCCTGAAACCTGAAAAACAGGTTAATGCTTTATAAACCAGCAGCAGTATTTTGAAATCAGTTATTTGACACTCAGGAAGCCAGTGTAGCTGACGCTCAAAGTGCCCTTGTTTATTATTTTGTATTTTTTGAAGAGTGCCTAATGTATGATTGAACTTTGTTTTATTTTGTTAAAAATGATAAGAGATTTCTTTCCGGAAGTCATGTGACCTCTAGCTCGGATGTTTACTTTGTGTTTGTGAGAGAGTAAAAGGGCGCTAAAAGTGTCAACAATGTAATAACATAATTCTACTGCTGGTCTACTAGGCGAACACGTTTTCACAGTGTTTCATAATTGTACAAAGAAGAAAATAAACGTGATTGTGGACATCAGTTCGATACGTAACGTTCTTTCAAGACCAGAGTAGTTACAGTCAGAGTAAAGACTTCAGAACTGGACTGATCCACTTTCTTAGTGATAGAGAGGCGTTCTGAATCAGCTGCAGCTTTCTAATAGATTTTTTAGTGAGACCTGTGAAGACACCATTACAGTAGTCGAGTCTACTGAAGATTATTTTATTATTAGTCAATTTATTGAATATGTCAGAATTTTTTTTATTTTATTTATATAATAATAACAATTTCAATAAATGCATTCTCAAATAGTCTCTGTCATGTTCAACAGGAGCTTAAAACAACTTTCTGGTCCTCCTCTATCGTACATTGTTCTTGAAAATAAATGATTAGGTCATCGTCATCAGAGTCATGTTCGTCATGTTGTAAACAAATATTTAATTTTTTACACAACAACCAAAAAAGAAATAACTTTTACAATGATAGAATGAAGATAAAAGCAAGTTTTCACTTTCTCCCTTTTATCCCACGAATGGCTGCTGCTGTTCTCATTGATATCGTGTGTGTGTGTGTGTGTGTGTGTGTGTGTGTGTGTGTGTGTGTGTGTGTGTGTATGTGTATGTGTATGTGTGTGTGTGTGTGTGTGTGTGTGTGTGTGTGTGTGTGTGTGTGTGCGTGCGTGCGTGTGTGCGTGTGTGTGTTTGTGTGTGCGTGTGCATGTGTGTGTAAATGAGTGTTAAGACCATTACTTACACTGTGGTCTGCCGTCTGAGAGGCCGTTTCTCTTTGATAGCGGTGTTTTATTCCAGGACGAGACATAATCCCTTGATTCTGACCACTCGCTCTGTGTTTCCCACTGAACTCAAGAAGCAGACCTGCTACTCTCATCAAACATCCGTTGTGTTTGGCAGCCGCTCAGACATGACTTTACCTGATCGGGAAAAGAAAAGGTTATTCTACACCGACGGTAAATTACAAGTATGGGAATCTTTTTTTTCTACTGGTCTTTGGCTCCGAGCTGAGATCATTTTGAGGCACACACACACACACACACACACACACACACACACACACACACACACACACACACATACACACACACACACACACACACCTGTTTTTCTGTTGCACACCGTTCCACATAAATCTCCCCAAATTATAGCCCCTTTTTACATTTTTTCACGTAGCTTAAAATAAAGCTGGAAATCAATCATCTGAATGAAGACCGAACAAGTCTGTGAGCTACAGCTTTCAGTGGAAACTTGAGTCACTATAGAAACTGAATTATTTATACTTGACTAATTGCATAAAAAGATGAATCTTAATAGTATGCTTGAAATTGGATTTATGCTTTTTGAGCTTCATTCCAATAAACTTGAAACTGAATGTTATATAATGAAACTGTATTTGATCCTTACTGAAATCCAACTCTCTTCAAACTGAGACACAGATCCAGTTGTTGAGGAAAAGCAATTTACAGGGTTCGTACGGGTGCTGGAAATCCTTGAAAATGCTTGAAATTTCATGTGGTGTTTTCAAGGTTTGAAAAGTGCTTGAATTTTGGATAAAGTGCTTGAAAGTGTTCTTGCTTTACTTTTATAATAAATTGCTGTCTGACTGAATAGTTCGCTTTTTTCGATATAAAAAAAAAGAAAGAAGTCAGAGTGAGCTTAATTACTTTTCATAAAAAGACAGCTCCACTCCTTTTATACATATTTTGATATTTGAATCCTTATTTTTTTCAGTTGCAGATTTTCCGTTTTCAGATTCAAAACAATTATTTTTTTCGGTTTGAAATCTTGTTTTTTCAGGTTTTACCGTTTTTTTCGCTTTCAAACTTTTGGCCCTGATGTTGCTTGGGGGGGGCGGGGCTTACCAAAGACTAGTTTAGCATCCTGAGTGACAGCCCTCCCTCTGTCATGTTGCCTTCATGGATGTTAGGTAGCGCGAGAAATATAACTCAACACTTTCTATACACAATACTCCCGTGATTGGTGGGAAACCAAACTGATACCAACGTCAAAGTTCCGTTAAGCGAGCTGTTGAGCATCGTAGTTCAGAATCAGATCAGAATCAGAAAACCTTTATTAGTCCCACAGAGGGGACATTTACATTGTTACAGCAGAAAAGAGCCACAGACAGCTTAATGTTACATATGTTACATGCAAAACAAAGTATTTAAGCTAAAAAATATGATAAAATAAAAAGTTATACAATTTACAAAATACACATCCTGTAACAGTTCTGAGGATTTAGCAGCCAGGTATATATTGCACAGTTTTTTAACTGTGCAATATATATATATACAGGGTTGGGTGAAGTGTTTTTCCCAAAATACCAAAATGCCTCATAGCCCTCTATTTAAACCCTGATTTTGGCACATCTTGTAAATTAGTTAAATGTAGCTTTGTGTTTTTATTTAAATCGCTGTTCATTGTTTGTTATATAAAGCAGATTGAATGATATCCTATGGACGCTGATGTGGGGATTTTGTGTCCTTTTGATAACTTTGTTGAGCTTGTTTTTAGCTGCATGTCTTTTTTTATCTCACTGAACAAAGTCCCTGTATGTGAACTGGTTCAGCTGATAAGGCTGGTTATGAATCAGAGGGAGGAGCTGCAGAGAGGGAGGGAAGTTGAAAGTGAAAGTAGGAAGTCAGACTGCCAGACGCCATTTTACAGCTCAACACGAGGAGAACAACAGGGTGAGTGTTAACACCAGGATCTGCTTTCCAACACATTTATTATTTACTCTGTTTTACTGGATGTCAGAAAATAACTTCTTGGTTAAAAATCTGCGTCCTAGAGTCCAATGAGACTTCTGCAAGTGTTGTACACTTTGATTATTTGCTGTTTTCTGATCCGTCAGAGTTACATAACATGTGACAGCCCAGCGCAGACAAAATGGAGAGCGGCCTGAAGTCTGACTGATTTCATGTATTTTAACTGTGTGTGTGTGTGTTGTGTGTGTTGTGTGTGTGTGTGTGTGTGTGTGTGGGGTGTGTGTGTGTGTGTGTGTGTGTGTGTGTGTGTGTGTGTGTGTGTGTGTGTGTGGTGTGTGTGTGTGTGTGTGTGTGTGTGTTGTGTGTGTGTGTGTGTGTGTGTGTGTGTGTGTGTGTGTGTGTGTGTGTGTGTGTGTGTGTGTTTGTTTACTGGTTTATCTCTCAGACTGTAGAAGATGAGTGATTTAAAAGTCGAGGCAGAGGACAAATCTTCAGTCTCCAGCTGGCGGTCTCTGATGAGTGACCGGTCTAAAGAGTGGCTTCCTCCATGGTTCAGTAATAAACCTGGACCCTCAGACACAAAGTAAGAGTTTCTACTGTAAACTGACCTGAAGAGGATCCAGTTTTTATGTAATCTAATATATTAAACTGTTCTTTAATGAAATCATGTGAGCAGTTTGCAAAGGACAAATGCAGCAGAGTAAGCTAACATTATCTAAGGATATTTCAGTATGCAATTATATTATCATTGTATCTGTGTATAAAATGGTTTTACATAGCAACAATATTGATAAATTCTGATTTAAAAACTATATATATTGTCCAAAACATTATTTACCAATTTGGGCATGTCTATGATATGTCTTTTTAAGATGTTTATTAATAATAGTGATAACCTGGTGAGCTGGTTGTGTTTAGCATTAGCAGATAAAACAGAGTTTTGTGAAATCACATGTAGAGTCAATGCAAAGACCCAGATCCGTGCCGGGCAACACGAAGGAAGTGAAGATGTTAAATTCATGTCACCTGCGTATTCGTGCAGCGTGAAACATTTCAACTTGAGTGTAAAGTTAGTGACGCTCTGTTACAAAAACCTGTCAGTGTTGAGATTGTGCTCCTGTGGTCTCTGACGGTCTGAGGGGAATCAGAGAGGAGAACAGAGCTCTACAGCAGCTCATATTCAATCAGGGTTATTCATGTTCCTGTATAAACCAGAGACTGTCTGTGGTGCTAACAATATAGTGACTGCTGGACTTATGACTTCATGAAGTTACTCTGAGTGTTGATGGAGCAGCTAATGTTAGCCTAGCTTTCATCAAACCGGTCTCATTCAGAAAAAAACATTTAAAAAGGTTTTTATGCTCGTTGTGTTGGAGACAGACCTGACAAAGCATTAACTCAGGCTTTTTACAAATCAGTATCATTCTGTTGTTATTTAGGCATCCTTTCCATATGTTTATTTCTATGAATTCACAGCAGATTCTATGCAAGTTGGGTTTATAGTGTACCAGGTTAATACAGCTGTGTGTAGATACAGGGAACATGTGCTCCTCTGGGGGATGAATCCAGACAGGATGCTCTCTGGTTTTATGATCATATGAATTGTAAGCTATCTACCTGATCACAAGGGTATATTATATAGACCTTTTTAAATATCAAACTAGAATTTGCCCCCTTGTTGTACCTTTGGTGAGAATCAGCCCCTCTGAAGTAAAGTGCTATAAAGGATGTGTTCCTCTCCACAGAGGGAAGAGGAAGAGTGGTGTTCCCCAGTGTGGAGAAAGATCCAGAACCAGAGCTGGCCTGCAGACAGCCAGTCAGACCAGCTCTGTACGAGGTAAGAGGCCGAACTCATGCAGCGTCTTATTCCTCTTCCTGGTTCATTTGTTTTTTTGATTAGGTATTCTGTTGAAGAACATAGACATTAAAATGTTTATAAAACATTTAAACTCAGTCTGTTTTTATTAGTTTTATTGTTAGATTGTCATTTTCTGATTCTCTCCTGTTCCTTCTCTTCCAGCAGATAGTGGTCTGCAGGAGGTTTTAGATGAACATAGGCTCAGTCTGAGGAGGAGATGTGAACGTGTGACTGAAGGAACTGATGAAAGTGAAACCCTCCTCAACAGCATCTTCACTGAGCTCTACATCACACAAGGCCAGAGTGAAGAGGTTAATACCCAACATGAGGTGAGGCAGCTGGAGACAGCTTCCAAGAAAGAGACCCTCCATGACACTCCAATCAATTGCCAGGACATCTTTAAAGCCTTACCTGACCAACAGACTCACATCAGAGCGGTCCTGACCAACGGAGTCGCTGGAGTTGGAAAAACCTTCTCAGTGCAGAAGTTCACTCTGGACTGGGCCGAGGGTTTGGAAAACCAAGATGTCAGTCTGGTGATCCCGCTCTCCTTCAGGGAGCTGAACCTGATCAAAGGTGAGCAGTACAGTCTTATCAGGCTGCTCCATGTTTTCCATCCAACCTTACAGAAGGTCACAGCAGAGCAGCTGGCTGTCTGTAAAGTGCTGCTCATCTTTGACGGCCTGGATGAAAGCAGACTTTCTCTGGACTTCAGAAACAATGAGGTTGTGTCTGATGTCTCTCAGCAGTCCTCAGTCAACGTGCTGCTGACAAACCTCATCAGGGGGAAGCTGCTTCCCTCGGCCCTCGTCTGGATAACTTCCAGACCTGCAGCGGCCAATCAGATCCCTCCTGAGTGTGTGGACAGGGTAACAGAAGTACGAGGCTTCACTGACGCCCAGAAGGAGGAGTACTTCAGGAGGAGATCGAGTGATGAAGACCTGTCCAGCAGAATCATCTCTCACATCAAGAGCTCCAGGAGCCTCCACATCATGTGTCTGATCCCAGTCTTCTGCTGGATCACTGCTGCAGTTCTGGACCACATGTTGACTACAGACCAGAGAGGAGAGCTGCCCCAGACCCTCACTGACATGTACTCACACTTCCTGCTGGTCCAGACCAAGAGGAAGAAGCAGAAGTATGAAGAGGGACATGAGACGAGTCCACAGCAGCTGACGGAGGCTGACAGGGAGCTTCTTCTGAAGCTGGGGAGGCTGGCGTTTGAACATCTGGAGAAAGGAAACATCATGTTCTACAAAGAAGACCTGCAGCGCTGTGGTCTTGGTGTCACCGAGGCCTTGGTGCACTCAGGAGTTTGTACAGAGATCTTCAAAAGAGAGAGTGTGATCTTCCAGAAAACAGTCTACTGCTTTGTTCATCTGAGCATTCAGGAGTTTCTGGCTGCAGTCTACATGTTGCACTGTTACACCAACAGAGACACAGCGGTACTGAAGGACTTCCTGCAGAGTGATCAGGATTGCCCATCCCTGCCTGTCTTCCTGAAGGAAGCCATGGCGAAATCCCTCAGAAGTAAAAATGGCCACCTGGACCTGTTTGTCCGCTTTCTCCACGGCCTCTCTCTGGAGTCCAACCAGAGACTGTTAGGAGGCCTGCTGGGTCACACAGACAACCATCCAGAAATCATCCAGAGAGCCATCAGCAACCTGAAGGAGATGAACAGTGATAATATCTCTCCTGACAGGACCATCAACATCTTCCACTGTCTGACAGAGATGAAGGACCTCTCAGTACATCAGGAGATCACAGAGTTCCTGAAGTCAGAGAACAGATCAGGGAAGAAACTCTCTGAGATCCACTGCTCTGCTCTGGCCTACATGCTGCAGATGTCAGAGGAGGTTCTGGATGAGTTTGACCTGACCAAGTACAACACATCAGAGGAGGGACAACTGAGACTGATGCCAGCTGTGAGGAACTGCAGGAAGGCCAAGTAAGTCCAGATGTGATTAACTTTATAAACTAATGTGGATCAGGAGTTTAATTATTCAAATAAACACTATAACATTTCTGCTGTTTAAATCTTGAGAGCAAAATAAACCAACACTGTTCTTCTATTTATTTATAATAATAGTTAAACTGAAGCGTTTCTCTCTTCATATTGAGTGATGGAGGCGACATGTCAAACACATGAAGGACTTGAGAGGTTTCTCAGCATATGATCACACCACACAGCAGGACTTACAGTTATCAGTTATTATTACTTTCTAGTAGTTTCTTTATCATTAAACACACACACGTTTTTATCACAATGTTTTAGAGTTTGAAATAAGATCTATATCATATCCCACCAATACCAGAGTTATGTCTTAATGCTCATATAGTGAGAACATCTGATGGTATTCAGTTTAAAATATTGAAACTTTATTGGTTTGTTAACTGTGTTTGTGTGCACAGTACATTTCCAGATGCTCAGAAGCCAAAACATCCATCATTCACATCTCAATATGAATTAACATTTAAATATGTACATCTCTCATATTGTCAAGTGATTTATTTAATTTCTGTCTCTTTGGTAACAGTCAGTGACAGCAGGAGCACAGACATGTGATCAGATCACACTGACAACACATTACACTCTATTATCATATATTATTATATATAAAATGGACTAACAGCAAATCTCAATCAGAACATATGTCAAATATTTGTTTCATCAAATGCTTGAGGTCATTATGTTTCCTCTTTTTTAACACATGTTGTAATATATGTGTTATTATAGACTTGCTTGCCGTGGACTCTCAGAGACTCACTGTGAAGTCGTGGCCTCGGCTCTGAAGTCTGATCCCTCCCATCTGAGAGATCTGGACCTGAGTCACAACCCTCTGCAGGGAGTGGAGCTGCTGATCTCTGGACTAAAGAGTCCAAACTGCAGACTGGAGGCTCTCAGGTCAGTTCACTGACTGAACTTCATCTGTTTGTATTTATCATTTTCTGAATTTGAAACAAATACATTTAAAGAATTGTTTCCACTGTTGCTAATGACTGCATATTGATCAGAATAACAAAGAGAAGGTGAATGTGTGAGGGAGAGTGTTTGAGCTTCCACAGTCTCACTCTGTGCTCCATGAGTCAGTGGAGATGCTGTCAGTACTGATGAGCTGTGAGGGAGATGAAGGAGTTGTTAAACATCTGATCAAAGTTAAAGTTCCAGATTATCAATGGATTGTTTCTACATCATCTCTGAGATTAAAGGTCTCCTATCATGCAGAATGCACTTTCTGATGTCTTTTCTACATCAACATGTGTCCCCGGTGTGTCCCCGGTGTGTCCCCGGTGTGTCCCCGGTGTGTCCCGGTGTGTCCCCGGTGTGTCCCCGGTGTGTCCCCGGTGTGTCCCCGGTGTGTCAGGAGACTCACAAAGTGTCAGGAAATAAACCCCTCTGTCTTTTCCTCCGTACCCACATCTCTAAAAACGGGGGAACATCGGAGCTGATCCAGATTTGCTGCGTCATGACGGCATTACTAAATTGTGGGCGGGCTTTACACCAACGGGCCAATCAGAAATGTTGCTGTCAGAAACAATGAGACGTGTTCTGGAAGTAATATGGTCTGTGTTTACATTAGCATGCTAACACTCAGAGCTAACCTGTACTGGAGAGAGCATGTGTGAAGAAGCAGGAAATAAGAAGGAACTCACCTTGTGGTAAACCTGAGAGAGAGAAAGAGTTTGAGCTCCATACTGTTTCAGAGAGAATCCTTGATGTGGTTTGGAACATGATATGGAGTTTCATCACGGCAGCATTTAGCTGAGTTTCTGCTGGTAGAATTCGGATCAGGCATTAGCTCCACCTCCTTTGTTTCTTTTTTCAAGCTAAGGACCTGAAGCTGCTCTTCTCTAACAGCTGGAACAGAGGGATATGAGGGGATTTCTAAAATGCATGATCTGTTTGGTATTTTGAGCAAAACACATCATAGACATGTTTTTTATATATTTGTATAAATCTGAGACCCATAATATATGGCTAAAAATAGCAGATAGGAGACCTTTAAAACCCTGTTTAACTCTGAACAGATTATTAAACCTGGAGTTATTTCAAACAGGAACATTGTTTTCTAAAGTTACATTATGTTCTCTTTATTCAGACTGTGGAGCTGCAGTTTGTCAGAGATCAGCTGGTCTGCTCTGATCTCAGCTCTGAAGTCCAACGCCTCCCATCTGAGAGATCTGGACCTGAGTTTCAATGCTCTGAAGGATTCAGGAGTGGAGCTGCTGATAGATCTTCTGGAGAGTCCAGACTGCAGACTGCAGACTCTCAGGTCAGTTCACTGACTCTCTGTTACTGCTGGAGATCTCATGTTTCATTAGTTATTCAACCTGATTCTTCACATAATTAACTTACATCCATAAAGTTGTAAATGTTCTTTTATTCATTCTTTCATTTGTAGGTACTAAAGTAAGAACTGCAGAGATACATGTTGACTGATTCTTAAAGGAACTGTAATAGATGTTAGTTGTTAAAACAGGGTTCCCGCGGGGTCTTAAAAAGTCTTAAAAAGTCTTAAATTTGATAATCTGAATTTAAGGCCTTAAAAAGGTCTTAAATATGACCAAAAAAATAAGAAAGGTCTTAAATATGATTTAGAAGGTCTTAAAAATGATGGGATTTGAAAGGTACTTCTGTGTTGCGATCGCGTCTGTGTTTTGGGGGAAATGTCCGGGCTGCAAAGTAACCAGTACGGTAAGAGCCTTTCAGTTCCCCCCAACAATCTGTATTGAAATAAATCAACATGGAACCAGTAATCACTAACTTTGTTTCCCCCGGCCCCTTATCGGAGAACACCCAGCTAGTAACCTAGCAACCAAGCTTCAGCAAGCGGCAGTCAGAAACTCATGTATCTTCAAATCTACTTACAAATAAATATGGGGAAGTGTAAGTTCAACCGTATTTGATTGGAAAACATCGAATTTAGTGCTTGGTTGAAACCAGTGGAGGGAACGTGTTTGAAGCCCGCTGCACCTTTTGCAAAATACATTTGCGTTTGTTTTGCTAATGTAGCGTTAGCTAGTGCAGCGTTAGCTAGTGCAGCAGCTCCCGCAACAACACCGGACCCAGACCGACGTTTGGGTCTTCGAAAGCGGAGGTGCTGTAGACGCTAAATACCGTAGTTAAACACCAATCATACAACAGCAACGATGAAAGATTGTAGCCAAGGCAGCAGAGCTCTGAATATAGCTCTTGTCACACACACACACACACACACACACACACACTAGGGCTGCCTGCTTGATTATGGCAAAAATCATAATCACCATTATGTTTGTCAATAATTGATATCACGATTATTCATTGACTTTGAAAACATCCATTTATTGAACTTTAAAACAAATAATAATTTGAATAGTATATTTTTAACTGTTGATTACCCTGAACGTATAATTCTACTGAAAAACCAATACAAAAATAAATGATAATGATTAAATAAATGATTAAATAAATAATATCAAAATAATAAATACCAATAAACAAGATCAACAAATATTTTGGTTAAGCTACTAAACATATATAAATATGATAAATAAAAATAAATGAGACACAATTAATTAGATCAAATATGTTCTAGTGCACAGTCACAACCTAGCAAAGCAAAATAATCGTTTTCTTCTATTATGTTGTTTTCGTAATTGTGGCAGGCCAAAATCGTAATTGCGATTAAAATACGATTAATTGCACAGCCCTAACACACACACACACACTTTTTGTCTAACACGCTAACACAGTTCTGGGCTGTTATGTTCAGTCATTGTTCTTATGTTGAACATGAATACATTTACTTTGTAAGTAATTATGGGACGTATTTCTTCTTTCATAGCAATTTTCCTTCATACTTTCTTGCTGTGAAATAGGTCTTAAATTCTATTCAAAGTGGTCTTAAAAAGGTCTTAAAAAGTCTTAAATTTGAGTTGGCGAAACCTGCAGGAACCCTGTAAAAGTAAATATATGTTTTTAATATTTAGTAAACGATAACGTCTGAATAAAGTTCATCTGAAAGGCAAAGCAAGTTTATTTATATAGCACCTTTCAACACAAGGCAATTCAAGGTGCTTTACAAAAATGAAAGACATTCAGACAAAGCCATTTAAAAACAGTCATTAAAAAGAAAAGATAATAAAAGAAACATTAACAGAAAAAATACATGAATAAAAAGTAATATTAGGATAAAGTTAACTTTCTGAAGAAGACACATGTTTTTGTTCCCATTCATTTCAATGTTGAGTAACACATCTGATTATAAACTGATTTGTATCCTCATCATGTTTTCTTTATTCAGACTGAGGGGCTGCAGTTTGTCAGAGATCAGCTGTTCTGCTCTGGCCTCAGCTCTGAAGTCCAACGCCTCCCATCTGAGAGTTCTGGACCTGAGTTTCAACGCTCTGAAGGATTCAGATGTGAAGCTGCTGATAGATCTTCTGGAGAGTCCAGACTGCAGACTGCAGACTCTCAAGTCAGTTCACTGACTCTCTGTTACTGCTGGAGATCTCATGTTTCATTAGTTATTCAACCTGATTCTTCACGTAATTAACTTACATCCATTAAGTTGTAAATGTTCTTTTATTCATACTCTCATTTGTAGGTACTAAAGTAAGAACTGCAGAGATACATGTTGACTAGGGCTGTGCGATTATGGCAAAAATCATAATCACGATTATTTGGGTCAATAATTGATATCACGATTATTAAATACGATTATTCATTGACTTTGAAAAAATCAATTTATTGAACTTTAAAACAAATACAAATAATAATTTGAACAGTATATTTATAACTGTTGATTTCCCTGAACGTATAATTCAACTGAAAAACCAATACAAAAATAAATAAATAAGATAAATTTAAATAAATAATATCAAAATAATAAATACCAATAAACAAGATCAACACATATTTTGGAGCGCACTTCCCCAAGCTACTAAACATATATAAATATGATAAATACAAATAAATGAGACCAAAATTAATTAGATCAAATATGTTGCAGTGCACAGTCACAACCTAGCAAAGCAAAATAATAGTTTTTTTCGATTATGTTGTTTTCATAATTGTGGCAGGCCAAAATCGTAATTGCGATTAAAATACGATTAATTGCACAGCCCTAATGTTGACTGATACTTAAAGGAACTGTAATAGATGTTAGTTGTTAAAAGTAAATCTATGTTTTTAATATTTAGTAAACGATAACGTCTGAATAAAGTTCATCTGAAAGGCAAAGCAAGTTTATTTATATAGCACCTTTCAACACAAGGCAATTCAAGGTGCTTTACAAAAAATGAAAGACATTCAGACAAAGCCATTTAAAAACAGTCATTAAAAAGAAAAGATAATAAAAGAAACATTAACAGAAAAAATACATGAATAAAAAGTAATAATAGGATAAAGTTAACTTTCTGAAGAAGACACATGTTTTTGTTCCCATTCATTTCAATGTTGAGTAACACATCTGATTATAAACTGATTTGTATCCTCATCATGTTTTCTTTATTCAGACTGGGGTGCTGCAGGTTGTCAGAGATCAGCTGTTCTGCTCTGATCTCAGCTCTGAAGTCCAACGCCTCCCATCTGAGAGTTCTGGACCTGAGTTTCAACGCTCTGCAGGATTCAGATGTGAAGCTGCTGATAGATCTTCTGGAGAGTCCAGACTGCAGACTGCAGACTCTCAGGTCAGTTCACTGACTCTCTGTTACTGCTGGAGATCTCATGTTTCATTAGTTATTCAACCTGATTCTTCACGTAATTAACTTACATCCATTAAGTTGTAAATGTTCTTTTATTCATACTCTCATTTGTAGGTACTAAAGTAAGAACTGCAGAGATACATGTTGACTAGGGCTGTGCGATTATGGCAAAAATCATAATCACGATTATTTGGGTCAATAATTGATATCACGATTATTAAATACGATTATTCATTGACTTTGAAAAAATCAATTTATTGAACTTTAAAACAAATACAAATAATAATTTGAACAGTATATTTATAACTGTTGATTTCCCTGAACGTATAATTCAACTGAAAAACCAATACAAAAATAAATAAATAAGATAAATTTAAATAAATAATATCAAAATAATAAATACCAATAAACAAGATCAACAAATATTTTGGAGCGCACTTCCCCAAGCTACTAAACATATATAAATATGATAAATACAAATAAATGAGACCAATATTAATTAGATCAAATATGTTGCAGTGCACTGTCACAACCTAGCAAAGCAAAATAATAGTTCTTTTCGATTATGTTGTTTTCATAATTGTGGCAGGCCAAAATCGTAATTGCGATTAAAATACGATTAATTGCACAGCCCTAATGTTGACTGATACTTAAAGGAACTGTAATAGATGTTAGTTGTTAAAAGTAAATCTATGTTTTTAATATTTAGTAAACGATAACGTCTGAATAAAGTTCATCTGAAAGGCAAAGCAAGTTTATTTATATAGCACCTTTCAACACAAGGCAATTCAAGGTGCTTTACAAAAATGAAAGACATTCAGACAAAGCCATTTAAAAACAGTCATTAAAAAGAAAAGATAATAAAAGAAACATTAACAGAAAAAATACATGAATAAAAAGTAATATTAGGATAAAGTTAACTTTCTGAAGAAGACACATGTTTTTGTTCCCATTCATTTCAATGTTGAGTAACACATCTGATTATAAACTGATTTGTATCCTCATCATGTTTTCTTTATTCAGACTGGGGGGCTGCAGGTTGTCAGAGATCAGCTGTTCTGCTCTGACCTCAGCTCTGAAGTCCAACATCCATCTGAGAGAGCTGAACCTGAGTCTCAACGCTCTGAAGGATTCAGAGAAGCTGCTGAGAGATCTTCTGGAGAGTCCAGACTGCAGACTGGAGACTCTCAGGTCAGTAAGGGGTCTCTGCTGGTTCAGCAGTATTGTATGAACCACAGGGAGGTGTTTCTCTCACTGGGGAAACAGATCAGTGATGTTACCCACTGACTGCAGGCTCTTTCATTCTTCCATCAACTATAGAAGGCCAGCTGGAAATGCAAAGCCACACTTTAGTAATCAACTCTCTAACAGACATATGGGGTTTTACAGAAGAGTGGGAAAGGTAGTCTGTTCTTATGGGATGTTTTTAGTTTCTAGACAAGGGGTGTCCAAACTGCGGCCCGGGGGCCAAATGCGGCCCTCTGCAAATTCTGAAAGTATAATGAAATATGGCCCACAGATGAAACTTGTGCTTGTCTTGTATTGTACTTCTTAAATATATATGTACACATATATTACACAGTAGTATTCATGTGTTAATAAGAGCCCACCTTTAAAATAAATTCAGTCAATTAAAGCTGAAAACATTTCCTAACAAATCTAACTTGATAAGTAAAAAGCCCAATAACTTATTTTTATAACAAGCGTGAAATAAACCCTTCATATTTCCTGTAACTATAATCAATCTGAAGCTCCTGTTTAAAGGAATGAGCTGCTGACAGAATAAAGTGAACCCTCTGGAGAGCTGGGAGCTGTTTTGTTTCTTAAAGCATCTTCAAGTAACAAGCATCCTTTACCTTCATTTGATTGAGTTTCCTGACTTATAACTGAACTCATGAGGCAGTAAACCTCTAGAGAGCGGCCCAGACCTTTATATATTTTTCTGTATGTGGCCCTCGGTGAAAAGGTTTGGACCCCCCTGTTCTAGACCAATGACTGGTTACTTCCTGTCATGCAGCTGAGAGCTGTGGCAGGCAGTCGTAGTGTTTGCAGAGAAGATATGATGGGATGTAAAGCATGAGATCAGGACTCTGAAGCTGACTCAAAGAACTAACACTTATTTTAACTGGATCTAAAACTGTTGGATTGTGTTCATCCCTACAGGATCAGATGGGGTGAAGAGCCGATGAGAGCCACGATCCAGAAGACCTGTGAGTACTGAAACCATATCCTCCATTCATCAAGATATGAAACTCTTTAATGGAGCGTGACCTCAGAGGAAAACTACACTCTTCTTTCTCTCTCTCTCTCTCCTTCTCCTCTCAGGTGACAGGAAGTGAAGACACACAGAAAGGTGAGAGGTCGTACCGTGTGAAGTTTATTTATTGAGGTTTCAACACGTTTTTCTGGTGTTCCAGACAAATCTGCAAACTCAGGTTTTATTTGTTCTCAGTGTATTCATCACGGGGCGAGTTTGAGACGTGAAGAGGAGCGTGGAGGCATTTTGGAAAATAAAGAAGAAGGCTGCAGCTGATGAGAGACTTCCTGTTGGCTCTCCTCAATATCAAATGAACAAAAACAATCAATTGTACTTAAAGCTTTTCTTAAGAAGACAGATGTGTTGCACATACACCTGCTGCTACCTACCACCACCTCCCACCCATCCCGGCACCAAAGAGGAGACTCCATCGACCCCAGATACCCCAACTCACTCTTCTTCAGGTTAGCTTGGAGCCCCGCCTTTACCTGCCCCAACATCTCACTTTGAACAATGTAGTCATCCAGATATCTGCATACTGAGAGTGGGACGCAGGACCCGGTCCATGAGCTGCTGGAAGGGGGTCCACTGGACTGGAGGGGCTCTTGGATCTGGTGATGCCTTGCTCTTCCTGAAAGGGGAGGACACCTATCTGCCATAGTTTCTCCACCTGACGACTGAGTTCGGCATCGGGGGTTCCAGTTGGGGTGAAGAGACTCTGGGGGGCATCCGATGGCTCCTGAATAGGGGGGCCCTTGGAGTGTCCAACCTAATGATAAGAATAATAATAATGCATTTTATTTGTAAAGCACCTTTCATTGCTAAAAGTCATCTCAAGTTTAAAAAAAGGCTTTTTAGGCCCTTCTTAAAGGAGTCAGTGGTCTGTGGAGTCCTCAGTTTGTCTGGGAGGGAATTCCACAGGTAAACAGAAAGCCCCCCCATGGTGCAGAGTTTGGTCCTGGGGGGGGAAGCAGATGGTTGGTTGTAGAATGGAGGTTGCGTGTGGAGGTTTGTGAGGAGAGTAGTTCCTTGAGGTATGAAGGAGCGTTCCCGTGGATGCTCTGATGGGTGAGGAGTGAGATCTTGTATTTGAACCTAGCTGGAGGGCTATTGGTGCCCCCTGTGGACCCAAAGAGACTCTTTTGGTTGGGGTAATGAGGTGAAAGTTATCTGCACCTATTAGTAGGAGAGGCTGCACTTTGGAAATGAGGGAAGGGGAAGGCCTTGTAGGCGGAGATAGTGTTTCTTGAGTTCATCCACAGGATAACTCTAGTCCACAAGTGAAAGTCTGTCAGAGGTGAATGTGTCTTTGAGGAGGAATGTTTTCTTGGGATTGAAAGAGGGTGATATCTCAAAGGTCACTGAGGCTCCATTTCAGAATAATATATATGATATGTTTTATAATGATTGATCATGAAAGTGTTCTCAAAGCTGGTAAAGGTGCAGCTAGTTTGAATGACTTTGTATACTGCAGGGTAGCTTGTGAATTTACTCCAGGTGGAACTAAAGTCTGATTTAACACTTGATTATATTTCACATCATTCATCCACATCTGTGAAGTAACTAAAGGGATTAAATACATGTAGTGGACGAAAAGTACACCATGTACCTCTGAACTGTAGTGGAGTAGAAGTAGTACACAGTTGCATAAAAAGAAAATTAAGCTTCATCTCCAAGCCCAATGGCCTTGGAAGAGCTGCTAAGGAAAAGGAAAGACATCTGGAGACTTTGGAGAGACAGCTAACGGACAAACTCAAGGAACTGAAAGACCCTCCCTAATAGGCCGTATGCTGTTTAGCCTTACCTTGAATGATTCAGTGCAGTGTTCTGTGCAGGGTTTCTGTTTGCTTTTTCAACTCAAGGAGCTCAAAGACTGATTGAAAGTTGATTTGATTTGCATAATTTCTGATTTCTGATTAAATGTGAAGGAAAATTCACCTTTGAGTTGATACAGTATATGTGTGCATATAATGCACCCTTTGGCCTAACCTGGGAGAGCCTTATGTTCACTGCCAACCTAAGGACCTCCAACATGTTAATAAAGAATTGATTGAAAAGTTATTTGACTGATTGATGTATATTGGCTCAGCCAGGTTATATGGGATGCAGTCTACTTACAGATGGGTCACTCATTTTGAAATATTACACTTTGTTTTATTTTTCTTTAATTTTTCATCCTCATGTAGAATGCTATCACGCTATTGGTTGTTTATAGCATAAAGAACATCTGATTTAATGTGAGGTAGGGAAATAATCATTTGAGGATAAGTATGTGTCATCTCTCGCAAATTATGTTAGTTTAGTTAAGTGTTTTTGTCTTTGTCTTGTGATTTTCACCTTTATTTTTGAATAGTAACATTCCCTCTCGTTTCAGATACTCTGACCTCCCTTCCTGGTGTGTCTCCCACTCCTGTGATTGTCGACCCCGCCCCTGATTGTTTCCCCATTACCTGGTGTATTTATTGTCCTCGTCTCCCTTTGTCCTGTGCCAGTTCGTTTCGTTCCTTGTGACAAACAACCAGCCTTATCAATCCAGGATTACCCCCAAGCAGAGCTTCGAGCCACGTCTTATTTAAGTATTTTTGTTGTTCATGCTCCTAGTGTTTTTTCCTCTTTAAGAGTGATTTTGTTTTTTGTACCACTATAGTTGAGCTTTGGTTTGAATAAAACCTTTTTTTTGTTAAATCCTGTGTGAGTTGTGCATTTGAGTTCATACCCGTTTAATCAGTCGTAACAGTATGTGTATTTAAATATGTAATTTACAACAGCTGTAAGATGCTTGATAAGCTTGATATGCACCTTGAAAAAGTGCTTGAATTTGACTTTGGAAAAGGTGTAAGAACCTGAATTGAGTTCATGTTTGTTCTAATAAACTGGTTTCAATGGATTAAACCCAAATTGGCAGAAACAAGAAATCGTCTCATATTTTCACATATTTTGTTCATATACTAACATTTATTGGCAAGAACTGACCTTGTCTTGTGAGAACTGAATGTAGAAGTATTTATAAAGTTGGGTTTTTAAGTTAGGGTCAAATACAGTTTTTAGAATATAACATTCAGTTTCAAATTCATTGGAATTATGAGTTTTGTTTACAGCGTTAGCGCCAAATTAATGACATTACAAAAACAGCTCCAAACAAGGCTCACTTACCGTTTCACAGAGTTACAGAACCTCAGGTTATTGGAAACCACTTAAATTCTAATAAATTAAATAAATGTCGTGCTATTCCGACTGTGATTTGTACACAGTGTAAATATATCAATGAAAACCTTATAGGTCACAGGCTCCTCCAACTGTGCAACACAATAAAACAGATAGAAAAGTACAAGGAGAGTCTATATACAAGTAATTGGAATATGATATATTAGATAAATAATGTGTAAGTTGCAGAGATGGCAAAAGTACACACATCCTTTACTCAAGTAGAAGTACAGATACTCGTGTTTAAAAATACTCTGGTGAAAGTAGAAGTACTGACTAAACTTCTTTACTCAAGTCAAAGTAAAGAGGGCTTTGAAATGTACTTCAGTAAAAAGTACCCATAACTAGCAGCTGTTTTAAAGAGTACCTGACCTCCCTTTATATTAATAGAACAATAATGTCATTGTTAGCTAATGAATGTTTCCATGCTGAACAACGGCAACATGACAACGTTTTCATTGGTCCCTCTTCTTTAGAGAAGACCAGGAAATGATGGATACACGGATCGTGTTCAAATCAATAGGCACGCAATGACTCTAAATAATAATGATCACGCCACCAAACACATTGTGTCCTTGGGCAAGACACTTCACCTGAACTTGCTCCTGTGGGTATTGTCCACAGTAGATGACCATTACATGTATGTGTAATGTGTATTTGTAAAGCGCTTTGAGATTCATTGATAAAGCACTATAATAAATATAAGGAGTACATTCAAACTAAAGGAACCAGCCTGTTTGGAAAATGTAAGAAGTAGAAAGTACAGGTATTTGGGTTCAACATGTAAGAAGTAGAAAGTACAGGTATTTGGGTTCAACATGTAAGAAGTAGAAAGTACAGGTATTTGGGTTCAACATGTAAGAAGTAGAAAGTACAGGTATTTGTGTTCAACATGTAAGAAGTAGAAAGTACAGGTATTTGTGTTCAACATGTAAGAAGTAGAAAGTACAGGTATTTGGGTTCAACATGTAAGAAGTAGAAAGTACAGGTATTTGAGTTCAACATGTAAGAAGTCAAAGTAAAAAGTCGTCAGAAAAATAAGTAGTGGAGTAAAGTACTGATACCAGAAACATTACCTTAAAGGGGACCTATCATGCAAAATGCACTTGTGCACGTCTTTTATACATGAATATGTGTCCCCGGTGTTCCAGGGAACTCACCAAGTGTCAGAAAACACAACCCTCTCTATTTTCCTCCATACCCAAATCTCTAAAAAAGGGGCTGCAACGGATCTGATAAAAACTGATCCAGATTTGAACACTGTCCTGACGTCAGGACGGTGGCGCTACGGCTATTGGGCCAACTCCACCAATCAGGAGGAGACAGCCACGGCCATTGCCGTTCGAAAGCGCTGGAGACGCTGCAGTACATATGCCAGGCCAGTAGATGGTGCTGTTCTCACTGAATCCGCCCAGAGCTAGAAATTGTCAAATTGAGCAAAATGAGGCATGGCTGAAATGCATGATCTGTTTGGTATTTTGAAAAAAAAAAAGTATAAATATGCCTTATATAGGTATGGTCCTACACTATATTATTCAAATATAGCATGATAGGTCCACTTCAAGTACAGTAACGAGGTATTTGTACTCCACTACTTCCCACCTCTGTTAAGTTGCAGACAGATGAATGTTCTTTCAACAGTTCAGGTGTTTAACAGTCAGTCATATCAGCCCAAATTCTTGCCTAACGTGCCAAAGATAAAGGTGTCTGGTATTAGGACAGCGTGCCCACAGGCAGATTGTGTTATTAAGCTTTGACCTGCCCCACTAATCCCAGTCAGGTCACACCTCATCATCTACTGGGGCTACTGGGCACACCTTTATATAGAAACACCTGAAGCAGAGGTGAGATCTGATGGAGACCAAGACTACTGCAACGTCACACTAAATGTAGACAGTAACTTAATCTGTTTTATTTACTTTAAAGGGATCATATTGCTCCCGCTAAGAAATAAATAATCTGTTCCAAAACAGCTGGAATTGTGACAACAACAACAACAACATTTCAAATGATGTTTTAAATGATGGCAGCACTGACCAAGCCCCCAGGAAGTGCTCCGGACTCTGAGGAAAATATTCATTGTGGCCAAACGGCGGTACTACAACTTCCGTATCAGTCTGTGACGTCACTGGGCCCAGAAATACTTTTTCCCATTGACTAACATTGGGAAAGAGACTTCTGTAAATCCGCGGATCATTTTTTAAAAACTAAATAAACTATCCAGCACGAACACTTGTATAGCCCTTATTAGAATCATTAGGTCCTTAAAGTTGAACTAAAAGCTGAATCCAGATTTATTTTCTCTCTCCATTCATTCTACTGAGCCGTGAGAGGGAGATCGGGGGCGGGGCTTAATGACTGGAGGCAGGGCTTAAGGGGAAACTCAACTCTGCTCTATAGAGTGCCACAGTGACGCGTCCTAAAACCCGGAAGTAAATTCCTTCCGGTTCCTTCGACAAAAAAGCAATGCAATTTCTCCATAGGATTTAGGAAAATAGCTGGAAATAAGGTCTGTGGTTGAGACACATTTAAGAGACGGATCACGTTTTGTTCAGTCGGATAATCTCCACATGTCTACCCTACTTTTATCATTTTATAATCATAAATCTAGTCGCCAGAAGCAAAATGCTAACGTTATGCTATACACGAACTACAGCAGGGTCGCACGACTTCAACGTCACGCCAACTTAAGATCCATATTCAAACATACAGATTCTAAATGGAACAAGTTGAAGCGTTTGTTTGAACAGTTTGCAGGAGGCAGGTACTTGCTTTCAAGCAGAACAGGGCAAACAAACTTAGCGGGAGTGTTTACGTGTTCGGCGTAATGACGTACAACAGCCTCGACAACTTCTGTAGTCCTATTCAGCCACTTGGTAACAACCATCGTTTTTCAGACTCGTCAACTCTTCAGAAATCCCCAGTGGGGTCACTGCTGATGGATTTCATGTCGTAGAACAAAACATGATCCGTCTCTTCAATGTGTCTCAACCACAGACCTTATTTCCAGATATTTTCCTAAACCCTATGGAGAAAATGCATTGCTTTTTTGTCGAAGGAACCGGAAGTGGTAAAATGCTAACTTACTTCCGGGTTTTAGGACGCGTCACTTCACCACTCTATAAGCTACGTACGGGTATACTTCTGCTCTGACAGCAAGGCATGATGGGTAATTTGTGACGTTTTGCTCTCGAAAATGTCAGGCCATTTTGTCCTCATGAGCCAATGAGCAGCTCTCATAGAAAAGAATGAGACCTCCGACGCTGTATCCAGTTCTTATTAAACATCCATGGCACTGATCTACTGTTCCCTTTAGTGTTTACTTCCTCTCTGTCTTCTTCTACTGTTCCCTTTAGTGTTTACTTCCTGTCTTCTTCTAGTGTTCCCTTTAGTGTTTACTTCCTGTCTTCTTCTAGTGTTCCCTTTAGTGTTTACTTCCTGTCTTCTTCTAGTGTTCCCTTTAGTGTCTACTTCCGCTCTGTCTTCTTCTAGTGTTCCCTTTAGTGTTTACTTCCTGTCTTCTTCTAGTGTTCCCTTTAGTGTTTACTTCCTGTCTTCTTCTAGTGTTCCCTTTAGTGTTTACTTCCTGTCTTCTTCTAGTGTTCCCTTTAGTGTTTACTTCCTGTCTTCTTCTAGTGTTCCCTTTAGTGTTTACTTCCTGTCTTCTTCTAGTGTTCCCTTTAGTGTTTACTTCCTGTCTTCTTCTACTGTTCCCTTTAGTGTTTACTTCCTGTCTGTCTTCTTCTAGTGTTCCCTTTAGTGTTTACTTCCTCTCTGTCTTCTTCTAGTGTTCCCTTTAGTGTTTACTTCCTCTCTGTCTTCTTCTAGTGTTCCCTTTAGTGTTTACTTCCTGTCTTCTTCTAGTGTTCCCTTTAGTGTTTACTTCCTCTCTGTCTTCTTCTAGTGTTCCCTTTAGTGTTTACTTCCTGTCTTCTTCTAGTGTTCCCTTTAGTGTTTACTTCCTGTCTTCTTTTAGTGTTCCCTTTAGTGCTTACTTCCTGTCTTCTTCTAGTGTTCCCTTTAGTGCTTACTTCCTGTCTTCTTCTAGTGTTCCCTTTAGTGCTTACTTCCTGTCTTCTTCTAGTGTTCCCTTTAGTGCTTACTTCCTGTCTTCTTCTAGTGTTCCCTTTAGTGCTTACTTCCTGTCTTCTTTTAGTGTTCCCTTTAGTGCTTACTTCCTGTCTTATTCTAGTGTTCCCTTTAGTGCTTACTTCCTGTCTTCTTCTAGTGTTCCCTTTAGTGCTTACTTCCTGTCTTCTTCTAGTGTTCCCTTTAGTGTTTACTTCCTGTCTTCTTCTAGTGTTCCCTTTAGTGTTTACTTCCTGTCTTCTTCTAGTGTTCCCTTTAGTGCTTACTTCCTGTCTTCTTCTAGTGTTCCCTTTAGTGTTTACTTCCTGTCTTCTTCTAGTGTTCCCTTTAGTGTTTACTTCCTGTCTTCTTCTAGTGTTCCCTTTAGTGTTTGCTTCCTGTCTTCTTCTAGTGTTCCCTTTAGTGCTTACTTCCTGTCTGTCTTCTTCTAGTGAATTCTGTGATGTCTTTTAACCTCTTTCCTTCCTTCCCTTGATCCTCCTTAGCAACCGTGATCAACTAAGCCGTGTATAAAGTACTTCTACTCAATTACTAAGTACAATTCTTTACCTTACTTGAGTATTTCCATTTCCTGCTACTATATACTTCCAACCCGCCACAATTCAGAGTCAAGTG